TTTGTTTCTTAATGGAAACATTTTAAATGAAACACAATAATTGTACAAAATCAGCTTTTGTCAAAAACAAATTTTTGTTTTAAAAACATTATGATGGGGGGAGACTGGCCAGCATCTATCATTCCAGCCTGAAGTATTTCCATGTGCCCTAATTGGGGACCACTTGGATACCATCCACAAGGGATGGAGCAAGGCAAGTTTTATACAGAAGACTGACAAAGAAATTACAGGATTTAAAGGACAGCAGAGCATTGCAGTTGAGAAGGTGATAAGCCAGTGACCTAGGGTGCATGTCATATATCTGAGATCTTTTTAACCTGTCATGATAATTAGATAACATCAGATTATATATCCTAACTTAGATGTCTAAAATTAGACATCTAAATTTAAATTAGTCCTTTTAGACTGTCTTCACAGAGACGGTGGAGAAAGAGGTATCTCCAGAGATGTTATCTACTTCCATTTTCCACTTAGACTGTCTTGGAGAAGTTGCTATTGGATGCCCCTTCCCTCCATCTGAGAAAGCTGCCAGAGTTGTCTGGCTCAGCATTACACAGCCGACTTCGAGATATGCAAAGGTAGTGGGAGAAATCCAATTCTGCCCTGCATTTTGTTGGCTGAATTGCAGTACAAGTAGCAGCTCCTTGACCACCCTTTCCCTTTGTAGTAACAAGTATTCTTCACCTTCTCTCCTAAGCTGTTTTTTTTTTTTTTAGCACTGTTGCATATCAAAGCACTTCTGTGCTCCAGGCCCAAGCTGGCTTCCTTTTACTTTTGGATGCGAGCCAAATACTTTGTAGAGTGCTCCGAATTCCTTCGGGATGAAACAGGTTACAGAAATCTTGAGTTACTGTGCTGTGGAGGATGGACAGTGGATCTGACTCATCATGTTGATACTCAGAAGGATGTTACTGCAGATGTCCCCAGCACTTGTTTTGTTCACGCTCCTGGCCAAGTTTAACCTCCGGCTGATGACGCCGTCCTACAATGGAGCACTGCACACAGCCACCCAAGCACGGTTAGGAATGAGCAGTAACCATTAACTGGTGGATTTCTTAGATGGCTCAGTAAGTCAGCTGCCTAATTTGTGTTTAATTTCGCTGACTTTGAGCAGCACAAGTTCTTTAAAGTCCTCTCAAAACCCTGGTGAGGTGAGTAGTCTAGGACTAGGATTTGAACATACAACCAAAGAATCGTAGAGTGGTTTGGGTTGGAAGGGACCTTAAAGATCACCTAGTTTCAACCACCCCCATCCCAAGATTCCCTTCTTTAACTGTGACTCTTAAATATTTTGTTCTTCCATTTAAAGCATCAGATTTTAGGGTCTCCCCATGACCAATTTGTGGTCTTTATTAATGAAAACTTTAGTTCTCACATTAGGCAAAGGCTCACATAGGCTCAAGAACGTGGTTTATGCTTTAAAAAGCTCAGTGGACAGAGAAAAGCACAGAAAAATAAAATAATCTTAAAAAAAAATACCTGAGTGAAAGGATTTTGCATTCCAGCACTGTCCCATCATACTGAGGAGCATGACGAGAAATGAAGAGTTCATGGGCCACCATACTTCCCTTGTGCCCTGCTTAAAAAAAAATTATCAAAGACAAAAATAGATAGAAGTAACTGTGCAGTGTCTCATGCTGCAGACCAGGAATGTGAAATGAGGAAACAACTCTCTGCTCAAAAGAGTGAAAAAAATGCTCAGGTTGCAAATTTGAGTCTGTAGTCAGGGAAACCCATCCACCTACCCTTATGCTCTTTGGAGAGCTGGTCACACATACATTAATGCTGGCTGAGGTCATTGATTTTATTAAGCAAGACAGTAATGTTACTTCCTCAGTGATACAAATAAATAATTGGTGTTAGAGAAGTAGTTTCTGTAGCAATGGAAGTTGCTTAAAGATTTGCTAATTCTTTGCTGTGAGATGTTAGCAAATGTTGTGGATGGGTTGTCATATCCTCTTAGCTCTGTTTTCTTTACACATTCAAATGATGGGTAAGAGGATTATCCATTGGAAAACTGATTTTCACAGGCACTTTTTGTATTGTGCCTTAGGACAAATTCCTTGGAAATCAAAAGTGTTCATTTTGATTTCCAAGTCTTTACAGAGAGAAAGAAATTCTGGAATCTCAGTCTATTGCTTCAGAGTGTTGCTCAGCATTTCAGAAGCAATTTTGATACTGAATGTCTCCATGATAGCTGCCAGAATCTGCAGTGGGGAGGCTTAAAGTGCATAAGCAGTCTGTCCCTCAAATACTCAGAGTTACTTGTAGTTAACAGCACCCTGGGGACAATTTAAGAGCACCTTATAAAAATAAATGCAAGTTTTCCATAGACTTCAGTTACTGTTGAGTCACGTAACGTGGCCTGTCATATCAGGTGCAGCACAGAATTTGTCCTGTTCAAAGTCAAAAAACCAACGGAAGCAGCTGTTTAGTCACTCTTCTAGGGCTTATTTCCCCTTGAAGTATGGCAAGCTGGAATTTCCCCACCTGAACATCTAAGTCCTTCTGAATTTCAAAGCCTGTTGTTCCCCTGGAAAATCCATGCCTAAAGCTCCATACCCAGGGTGACGCTTGTGGTGCAGCTACAACAGGGATATTGCACAAGGCTCTTTGGTTGCCCCTTTCAGCACAGTAAACGAGTTAAGAAGTTGCTGCCAGTAGGACCAGTCGTGCCTACATCTGCCTACCTAGAGAGGGCTCACCAGACTCTGGCACTGCAGAGTGGGGAGTAAGTATAATTCATGAAGTAGGAGCTATCAGATGGCCCACAATACATGTAGACTAATGTTGAAAGCAGTTTTTAACTCCTCTGCACTTTATTCTCTTTCAGGAGAGATGGGGGAGCCACATACAATGGGGACTGGGCGTGGTAGTCCATCTCTGATGGACCCAGCTAGTAGAAAGGTACCCAGACTGAACATAAGATAAATTGAAGATGCTCTCAGTCATTTGATTGGCTGGGAAGAAAGCCACCCACTGTGGCATGGCCTCCCATTCCCAGCATCACCAAAGGAAAAGCTGAAAAGAGCCAAAAAGTGCCCAAGAGAAAGGAGACAGCACCATGTTCTGGCACAGAGCTGTGCTCTTTGCAGTTCTCTTAAGGTGGACACGCCCTGTTCTGCAGCTTTTTGGTGACAGGAGCAGTGACACTTCCCTCTGGGGATGACACTGCATTGCAAACCCTCTAGAAAAATTTCCGCAGCTTCTGTGTCTCTAATTCAACAAAAACTCCAAACACTTATTTTTTTATTAAAATTGTTGCAAATATTGATATTATTTTGCAAATATTAAACTTAGTAGTCTGTTGGGAGACTTGACTGGAGATAGGCATTGAGCTGAAGCTGAGCTTTTTGTATCTAAATGAGTTCTAAAATCATTCATAGACTCATAGAATCATAGTATCATTTGGGTTGGAAGGGATCTTTGAAGGTGAGTGAGCAGGGACATCTTAACTAGAGCAGGTTGCTCAGAGCCCTGTACAACTTGACCTTGAATGTTTCCAGGGATGGAGCATCTACCACCTCTCTGGGCAACCTGGGCCAGTGTTTCACCACCCTCACTGTAAAATATTTCTTCCTTATATCTAGTCTGAATGTCCCCTCCTTTAGTTTGAAACCACCACCCCTTGTTCTATCACCACAGGCCTTACTAAGAAGTCTGTCCACGTCATGGTCTTTTCTAAAAGCAGGCACAGAAAATGTGAAGCAAACATAAGAGCCAACCCTTTTGCCTCTTTGAGAACAACGGGGTTATGAAGTGAGAGTTTCTCATGACAGACAAATAAAGCAGCACAATGCGTGTGCTTATCATTGTCTCCTTGCTGACAGACATACTTGAAATGGAAAATAATAATAATAAAGAATTGAGGGGCCTTCCAGGAGAGCCTGTGAGGGCCGTGAAAAGAGCTCTTTGTGGCAGGAGCCAGAGTTCTCAAATGGAGCATGTCTTATCCAGTATCAATTTCTAGTTTAAAGCAGGAGTGTCCCCTACCTCAGATTTCAGTGGCAGAGGGAAGTGTGAAGATGAGGTATGTAAGGTGATGCTGCCTCTGCACTGCTTCCAGCCCCAGGGACTCGGGGTCTAACACAGCACAGCTATTTAGCACCTGCCTGCAGTCCAGAGCTTGCTAATGGTTGCATTGCTCATCCCCTGAGCTTCTCACACTGCCCTATCACATTTATGTGAGAGAAGAGAGCACTTACAGCCTTCTTAGATATTATTCACAAAGCTTTAAAGCAGCCAGCAGTCATACAAAGTGCTGGAAGTGTATAAATAAGGAGCAGTCTGAATATTGCCTACTTTTTAAAAATGGCACACTTCCCTCAGCATTACTGGGTCATTATGGAAAGCTTGCCATTATTTCCTGCCTTTTGACTCTGTGGATCACTAGCTGTCATTGCTTGCTGGTTTCCTGCAAAGCAACTTGGTGGAGAGAAACATTTCCAAACCACAAAAACAAAGCTACGAAATCACACCGTGAAGCACTCAGCTCACAGGACTGTACAAGGAGGTTTTTTCTCATCTCTTGGTCACCTACGGTTGAAGTGGGCACTGGGTGGTGTCCCTTCAACACTCCCTTTGCAGTCAGATTTACTATATTGTAACATGGCAACTGCAATATCCATTGCAAAAAAGTATCTCCTTCACTTTGAGAAGCTTCTTGGTAAATAAGCCACTGAAAATTTGTCATAACAATAGTCCAAAGATGCATATATATATGTAAATATACATATATATATATTTACAGGTGTATAGGTAAACACATCAAGGAGCCCCTTGAATTATGAATACAATTTATTCTTGGGGTCTGCACGTTTCTGAGTGTACAGCCCTTGGGAAGGGTGTGATCCTGTTGCCTGTTCCTATGATGCATTTCTTTTACAATATTGTTATCTCGACACTAGAATTCTAGCTGCATTGTCCTGCTAAAAGATCTATATGTTGTCCTGTGTTGTGGAAATATTTTCATCCATTTTTAATCACCCTGTAACTTGCAGGTATGGCATGAATTGCCTGATCCAGTTTGAAGATTTTGCCAATGCTAACGCTTTTCGTCTCCTCAATAAATACCGCAACAGATACTGTACATTCAATGATGATATTCAAGGTAAGTGCTGTTAGGAGAACACAGATTTAACCTTCACCTTGTCATAAAGAGGGGTGATGAAGATCACTGTTTATTATACGCTACTCAGCTGTGTGATAAGTTATAGAGTTTACACATAGACATTTAAAAATGGAAAGAAAAGCATGGCAGTCTAGGTTGACAAGTAACAACTCTATTGGTTTTAGGGGTTTAGCTGTTCACTGTAGAACTGTTGTTCAAGGGAGAAAATGGATCATGTGCTTTAGATTATTAAGGTAATTTAGAGCGCTCCATAAATTTTCTGTGATTTAGCTGAAACAATGTTGATGTTTTAACAGTTACTCAAGGCTTTCAGTCTCCTGAGCCAGGTGGTCATTAGCCAATCCTGGCAATGTCCCTCTAATGTTATCCTCCTTACTACAGGCACAAATGAAAAGGTAAACCAGCTTCTTTCCTCTCCACGGATGCTAATTCCCCTGTAATCTGAGAACAGATACCTTCTCCCCTAGAGCAGTTAACGCAACTCTTCCAGCACCGAAGAGAGACGGCAGCAGCAAAGCCGGGGCTATGAGCAGCGTGTCTCCAGGCCCGTGAGGCTCGGCAGCCAGCAGAACTGCTCCAATGCACAGCGGGGTGCAGGCTGAGCATTGGTGGCATCCTGGGCTGATGCTGACATTGCTTTAAACCATTGGAAGGGCCGTTTGCCCATCCAACAGGGACAGGATCTTCCCAAGTGATTCCAAATGGCCAGTTCTTCTCCTGTGAGTCCCATCATCTTTTCTTCTTTTGTCTAGTCCTGCTTGCAACTTGCAGAGATTTCCAAGGTTTGTTGATTTAATTATTTGCAGTTGGTTGGGTTTATCCTCACTTGGACTTGACAGAGAATGAAAGAAATGCCAGTGTCATTTTTACACAATACTGGTTCTTTTGTGAGCAGACTTTCCAGCACTATTTCTGCATCTGCTACCCATCTAGCAATATCTGGCAGTGTGTGTAACAGCTTGTTCATATCTGGCATGATGACACAAGAAGGAGTAAGACCATGGGAGTATGGTTGGTGTGACGAGATGATGGTCCAGCTCAGACAATTTCATGGAGAGGATTTAGAAGCAGAGGAGCTTAAAGCACTTCAGAGAAGGTGAGGTAAATACTCCTGTGCAAGACAACCCACAAAAGCTTGCAGTGGAGAGAGGAGCACAGAAAAAGCAGATACATCTTTGAATGGAAGTCTTCAGTGGAGGAACCAAAACCAAACTTTTCTGGAGATGGACAGATGATGCCCATAATAAGAAGCTGCTGATGTAAAGATTTATTTTGGATTAGTTGCTCTCTGTACAAGTGGAAAGGGACAGAACCTACATGCAGGCCACACTGCAGACCTGTGGGCCTGGATGTAGGTTCTCTTGAGGGAACTGGAGTGAATTGGAAAGGTTTCCTGGTGAATTGGAATGGTTTCTTAGATAGATGGAGAGGAGAGGAAAGGAGAGAGGAGAGGAGAGGAGAGGAGAGGAGAGGAGAGGAGAGGAGAGGAGAGGAGAGGATGGCATAAAGCAAAACTGAAGATTCTGGGTGGGAAGGAAGAGACTGTTTTCTAGTGTCACTTTGGCCATAGGTCAAATCCCTCAGGCAGTTCCTGGGAATTACTTCCCCAGAGGGGCAAACCACACCTAAGAGGATACTGTAAAATGGCATTGCCATAAAATTGCCCTGTCTGCTTCTCCTGCGTTAGATGGATCACACAGTGCATGGGAAGTGTCAAGTCCCCTGAAAATTCCCCAGGGTCCCATCTGTTAAAACAACAGGATTTTTCCTCTTCCTAAACTTCCTTATATTCTCAGATAAAGCACTGCTTTTACAATAGTATAAGGAAAGAAACCCTGCTGATCTTTTGCCCAGGCAAGAGATGAGTCAGGGGAAGCAAGCCACTGCTTCAGGCTTCTTCATGTAACTGTTAGAAAGAAAAACAGATTCCAAGCCAGGGTCATATTCAGGAATGAGTTTTGGGGACTTTTGGGACGCTGATGTAACTTGGGTCCTCTCAGTTAACTCTGTCTTAGAGTCATGTCAGAGATTAATAGAGTTGAAGCTGGGGTGAGTAGTCCAATTTACGCACCCTAATATACCCCCTGTATCCTTAGAGGACCTGAGAAAGGTAGGAAGTACCATCTTCCCACTTACACCCTCCTGTTCTTTGGTTTTCCCTCAGGCTCTCTCTTTTCTAACATGCTGGTGTTTCATGACTCACCTACTTAAACAAAATGGGTGAGTTCAATGCAAATTGTGGTTTGAATGATTAATGAGAATTATACAAAGCCTTGTTTAAGCAGTCCTGATTCATTTTACTCAAGTCAGGCAGGAATAGACCTCCTGAAGCCTGATTATTACAGCTTCTGAGCCGGCATTATTTTAAGTGTATCGATTTAAAAACACATCTGATTGCCAAATCCATCCCAGCCCCACAGAATTACAGAGACCCAGACCCCTTCCAGTTGGAGCCAGGCTGCTGATGCCCAGTGGGACGCCTGGCAGGTAGCACAAAGCGGAGGAGGTGGTTGCTCTGCTGCGAGCCGGGGAGCGAGCAGGGGCTGGCCCATGGTTCCCACACGGAGCTCCCCACGCAGGCAGTGCTGCTTCCTCCTCCAGGGGCTGGGGACATCAGCCCTTTCCCAGCTCCGTCGGGGGTCACGCAAGGGGCAGCAGCTTCGCTTTCAGCTCCAGGGGAGAAAAGTGATTGTCACTTCTTCCTTTTTCCCAGTAAAGCACCGGAACAGGCGGTGAACTTGGGAGGGAGATGAGGCTGCTTTAGGTCCTGCCTTTTCTCTTCCTACTGTAACTTTGCTCCACTTCATTGTGCACAGTGGTAAACAGAAAAGTCTTTCAAAGGTGTCAGGTCTTGTGAATCCCTGAGACAGGCATCTCTGGCTTCCTAATTCACACAAGCAAAGACAGAAAAGCACTGAAGAAGTGAGTTTAGAAGATAACAGTATTCAAGGTGATGTCTCACAAGAGCAGAGTAAAGGGGGAAAAGAAGTTAGTAAAGAAATTAGTTTGGAAGAGAACTCTGGACGTCACCCAGCCCTCGCTCAAATAAAAGGTGATTTCAAACTTAGATCCAACTTTGATATTAGAACGGGCTCCTCAGAGTCCTGTCCAGCCAAATAATTTTCAATATCCCAAGGACGGACATTTGCAATCTCTGTGCTACTTGTTCCAAAGTTTTCTCATCTTCCTTATGCATTTTTCCCCCCAATATCTAACTGGAATTTCCCTGGATGCAGCTTGTGTTCATTGCCCCTCATCCCTTTGCTGTGCACCTCTGAGAGGGATCTGGCTTCTCTACAAACACTGAGTAGGTAGCTGAACACAGAAATCAGATTCCCTCTTAGTCCTCTCAGCCTGTTCAAACCCAGGTCCCTCAGTCCTCTTAGTACACCCTGGTCATATTTACAGACCTCCTCTGGACTTGCTCCAGTTTGTCAATATATTCCTTGTGCTGAGAGCCTCAAAGTGGTGGTGCTAGTCTAGAGATGACCTGAAAAGTGCTAAAACAGAAAGAAATGATTGCTTTCTTGACCTGCTGCCTAGACTGCTGTTGATGCAGTCTAGCAGGCTGTGCCACAAGGGTGCATTGCTGGCTCATCTTCAACTTGTTGTTTGCTGTTACCCCCAAGTCTTCTTCTACAAAGCTACAGGAGTTTACATTTGCTTTTTCTGACCTTCATGAGGTTTCACTGAGCCCACTTCTCCAGCCTGGTGAGTTCTTTGTGATTGACAGTCTTACCCACCAGTGTATCAGTCACTATCCCAAATTTGTAAACATCCATGGACTTTCTGGGGGTTTACCCTGTCTTACCATCCAGGTGGTTAATAGAATTTAAAAAATATTGGCCTCTTTGTATGACTGACAACAAGCCTTTGAGCCCAGCAGCCCAGACGTATTGTCACCTACTTGATAGTCTGCTTGCTTGGTCTGTATCTCTCCAGTTTGGCTGCAAGGATGCTTCAGAAGATTATTTCAAAGACCGCATGCAGATCAAGGAAGTAACAGCTACTGCCCTCTCCTTGTCCTCATAGTTGTCTCATCATAGAAGGCAGCTGAGCTGGTCAGACATGATCTACCTTGGGATATCCATACTGTTTTC